AGGGACCAGAGACATGCCTACAAAGAGGAGGGCAGCTGTGTTGTTCTCTCCTGGCCTCCCCAGGAGTCATGGCAAGAGGCAGCTGTTCACTTCCCGAAAGCAAATGTGAGCACCTAAGGAATCTCAGGTCCTTCCAGTAGAGCAGTAAGGGAGACAAAGAGACCTCAGCAAGAAAAAGCAGAAATGATCTGCAAGGTGCCAAGAGCTGGAAACTGTCCCACATGACTGCAGCTCAGAGACATAGCTGCCTGGGAAGCCACACTATGATAGCCAGCAGGGAAGTCCCAAATACCATGAAAATGCCCCAGAGGAGAAAAAGTATTCTTTAGTATCTTTATTCATCTGCCAGGCCCACACAGGATACCAGCTCTAACCATCATCAGCCTGGCTCAGAAGACATGAAGTCACACTCCAAGGAAGAAATGTCCCAATTTGCTAATTCTCCTCACTCTCCTCATGGCAATTCTCTCTGGCTCCAAAGCAGCTGGTAAGGGAAGGAGAAAGGGAAGGAGAAAGGGAGAAAGGAAAGTGTAAAAAGTAGAGACCACAGCCCCTTCTCTACTACAGGCTTGTAGCACAGAACAGTCTAGCTGGAGGAGACAAAATGCATACGTATAACATGTGGCACTTTCAGTTGGGATTCTATTGTACATGCAGCTGAATGGTCCACTGACTAAGTTTGAAATGGTAACTGAAAGTTACCATAAAATCATCCATTCCCTATGCACAAAAGCTGGAGATCTGTCAGACGGCTGTGGTTTTTTAGTTGGGGATGGTGAGTATTAATATGTTGGGTCAGAGTTTACCATAAAGCCAATTTTATTGCTCCGCTCATGATACTTCCATGTCTGCATCTCCCCATGCTCTTCTATCCACAGCCCCTTTTTTCAAAACCTGTCTTTTTCATAAACCTGTCTCAAAACACATGTCCTTCAAGAAGTCTTCCTGAAGATTACCCATCTCTGATTATCCCTTTATTCCAAAATTTCTGCAAAGTTGGCAATATAACTTGGATTCACATTTTTCTGTTAAGGTCCTACCACTTATGTGTGACTTAAGACAAGCGCTGTAACTATATGCTTAAGTATCCTCTTACTAAAATAGCTTTAATTCCAACCTCTGAGGCTATTCTGTAAAGCAAATGAGGACCCTCCCCGTGAAGAGGGGAACAGGAGTCTGCCTATGAGGTCACGTGAAAGTACCAGGATTTCTGATCACGCAGGGCCCAGTCCTTTGAGACAGGCCAACCCTGTGATCTCTCTCTCCATAAACTCTGGATTTCATCAAGGTATGCTATTATTCATATTCCTGAAGAAAAAAAAAA